GTTTTGCCTCAAGTGTGCGGCCACAGGAGTGTGACCAGAGCAGTGGTTCTCACTCCAGCTGCATGGAATCACTGGAGAGGTTCTGATGTCATGGCCTGGCGCGCAGCCTGGGCCTCTCCGGGTGACGGTAGTGAGTAGCCGGGGTTGCAGGGCACCAGGACGTGGTTCTGCCCAGACTGGCTGGAGTAACGAGAGCTGGCGGGGAGAGATGGGCTGGCGGGTCAGTGGGGGCCAGACTGGATGTATTAAGGAACTTGGGCCACATCCTGGGAGGTACAGGACCCATAGGTTGCAGCAGAGATATGTCATGGTCCATTTTGTGTTCTGAGGAGCAGATGGGAGGGGAGTGGAAGTGAGAAGCCCAGTGAGGAAGAGCCTTGCAGGAGACCAGGTTCGAGGTGGCACCGACGGTGGTGGAAGAGGGAGGAAGGCAGACCAGATGGGGTCTCGCAGGACAGGGCAGGGAAGGGACCCTGTTGACTCCCAGGTCTCTGGCTTTCAGGACACGAACGTGGTGCTGTTTACCAAGAAAAGGAGTGCGGGGGTAAGGGGGTCATAATTTGGATCAGGACCTGAATTTAAGGACTTGCCAGATGTGCAAGAGATGTCACATCAGCACATGAATGGGTCTGGAACGTGGAGGCAGATGCAGGCTGGGCGTGGGCCTGGTGAGTCATCTGTGTGAAGCCAGGAGGCCAAGGCCGGGGTGGGGTCACTTAGGGAGAGAGTCGTGCTCAGGGAGGACGGGCTCAGCTTCAGATCCTGACCTGACCAGGTATGTGCTCTGTGGCTTCAGGAAAGTACGTCGTCTTACCTCGAGCAGCATAGAACAGTTCCATAGCCTGCGTGGCTTGCACGACAGGAATTTGTCTTCTCACGGTTCTGGAAGCTGGAAGTTCAAGGTCAGGGTGACAGTATGGTCCGGTTCTGGTGAGGGCTGTCCTTCCGGCTTGCAGACTGCCGCCTTTATGCTGTGCTTCACATGGCCTGTTCTCGAATGTGTGTCTGGAGAAAGACAGAGATGTTTCCCCTCTGTCTCCCTCTTGTAAGGGCGCTGGTCCCCAGCATGGAGGTCCTACTCTCATGACTTTCCCTAAACCTGATGACCCCTCAAAAGCCCCACCTCCAAATGCCATCACATTAGGGGTTGGGACCTCAACATATGAATTTGGGGAGGACACAAACGTTAAGTCCATCACATTAGTTTACCACTCTCAAGTTTGTCTACCTCACAGGTCCACTGAGGAACCCGGGCAGAGCGTGGTACCCACAGGGCCTGGCACACGGTGTTTTCTCTCCCTTCCCCCTTCTGGGATGTGTCTGATGTCACTGCTGCACACTTTGTGTTTGCTTCAGCCTGACATGACAGCCCCCTCTCTTCCTCTTCTGTTCACTTTTCTGTCCTAACTGGCTGTGGACCTGTGGCCCACCCGACCGTGTGCGTTGGAGCTGCGCGTGCAGCAAGAGCAGCTCGTGCTGAGCGTGAGAGCCTTAGTTCCGTGTGGCTTGTGCTCCTTCAGGACACGCCGTGGGCCCCGGCACCAGCCACGGTGGCTGCGAGCAGTGAGCCCTGTAAGAGCTCACGGGTCCGTGGGCGCTGGTCCCGGATGACTCAGACTTTCTCCAGTGTTCCTAGCGGCTCTCCGGGTTGTGAAGGTTAAAGGGCTCTGGATAAGCGAGGCGCTGACTTGTCAAAACTCACTTGCATGGTGACGGTGCCATCGCCAGGGCGCATCCTGTGACGCTGTGCTCCAGCCCCCAGCCCCGGCAGGTGGACTTCCGCTTGTAATGGGGCAGTGCTGGGAACTCGCACGGTGTCCTTGCATCTGAGACTTGGGGCTCTGCTGTCCCTGGGGGTGGGGCCTGGCCTAGGAAAGGTGTGTGGTCCCGTGATGACGGCCGCAAACCAGGGGCACCGGGTAAGGAGCAGCTTTCTTGTCCGTTTTAGAGTTCCCCTCTCTCTCCACCCGTCCATTCACTCATCACCTCAGTCCACGCATCCCTCACTGCTGCCTCCATCCACCCACCCAGCACGCTGGGCACGCGGGACCCAGCCGTGACGAGACTCAGTCCCTGCCCTCAGACATTCTCTCTGGTGGAGCAGTAAAGAGCTCCCCAGGCAAGGTGACCGCCGTGGCAAGTGCTGGGAGTGAGCGGCCCAGGAAGGCGCAGCACGAATAGATAAAGGAAACGCAGAGGAGCCGCTAGAGGGAAGGGGCCGGGCAGTCCCTAAGGTGGGGAGGTCTGAGAAGGAGTCTTTAGGGAGGGGACACAAGCTGAGACCTAAAGAGAGAGCCGTGGGCAGAGGAGGGTGGTCGGGGGAAAGCAGGGGGTGGGGGGTTCCGGGGAAAGAAGAGCCTGGCCTGAGAGACAGAGGAGGGTCCCCAGAGGGAAAGTACGGAGTGAGCCCGGAGCCAGCAGGCGGCTCTGCTCTAGGTGCAGTGGGGCGCTTCGGGCCAGTGCCGCTCTGAGCAGTGACATGGCCCAGTGTCACTGTCATGTCTGGAGGTCCCTATAAAGGCCACTCTATTGCTTGGTGGAGAATGGATTGAGGGGTCAGGTGGTGGTGGGGAGACCAGTGAGGTGGCTGTTGCCACATCCCCGTGGAAGATGTGATGCCAGTGGGGGCACTGGGCGCTGGCAGTGCGAGTGGAGACACGTGTGGGTTTGGAGGCAGAACCAGGGGGCCTGGAGATGGACTGACTTGGGGGGTGAGGTGCAGGGGGCCGCACAGGCCCAGGCTCAGGGTGCACTGCTCCTCTGTGCACGGGGTTCAAGCGAGTGTGGTTGGTCTCTGAGTCCATGGCCAATTGGAGGCAGCAAAATGCCGCTGGGCGCTCTGGGTTCTCTGGCCAGTGAACAGCTTCTCGATCAGGCAGGACGCTGTCCTGCGGGCATCCCTGCCCCCGTCCTCATGGGGAACACCCAGGTGGTGACCTGGTATCCCCCAAAAATTGTGGCCCAAGGATCTGAAAGGCCTGGATTCTGCTCCTCTAGGATAAAGTTTTCATGTCTGAGCCTCAGTGTCCCTGTTTGTAAATGGTTATAAAAGTACTTGCTCTTCCTGCCTCCTGGGCTGCTGGGAGGGTCCAGAGAGAAAGCTGAGAAAGTGCTTGGGAATCACATGGGCCATGTGAGTGTCAGCTGGGGTTGTCCTCACTAGGCCAGGCAGTGTGCCCAGGGGTGGCCAGAGGGACCTGGCTTTGGGGGTCTCCCCTGCCGCCCGACTGTAAGAGCTGGACACCCTGAGCCAGGGAGAAGGCTTGCCCTAGTGGAAATGGCTGTGGCTGCTGTGGCCGCAGGAGCCAGAGGGCAGAACAGGGACAGAAGGGGCAGAGAAAGGCTGGGTAGCTGGAGGGGGCGGCGAGGCCGGGGCGTTGCAGTGATTGATCTGATTGGAATGTTTCCTGGATGCACAGTAGTGGTAGCAGAGAGAGGGAGAAGCTGGATGTTGATGATGCGGTGTTTGTCCGTCTCCAAAGCTGCTGCTGGTCCTGCTACACTCCGCTGTAGACATTTCCCCAGACGGGGACATCAGGGCGGGACCTACTATATGCCAGGACTGTTCCTTGTTCCCTAGTAGGACGGAGTCCACGTCGCTCATGTCTCCAGGCAGCCTCCCAGATGCTGTGTCTCCCCGGATTTTGTCTCCTGGGACACCAGCCAGCCCTGGGGGCGTGGGGGGGCAGCCACCAGCTGTGGAGATGGCCTCCATGGCTTCCTCATGGGCGCATAATCCTTGCAGGCCTTGGTGGCCCATGTGGTGGACAGACTTGCTGCGCGTTGGGCCTCAGTTTCCTCCTTGACTCCTTTTTGGGGCGAGTGGAACAAGCTGACCACAGGCCTTGACTGCATGGCGTGGGGGAGGAACTCACACAGGGGCAGCCCCGACCTTGAGAGAGAGATGAGTGACATAGGCTCTCTGTGCCTGTTTCCCATCTGCAAATGAGGGATAATCATAGTGTCCACCTTGGTAGGTTGTATGAGGAGTAAGACAGTTGGTAGGTATAAAATATGTAGCACAGGTCTGGACACCCAGTAAGCACACATGCGTTGTACTTATTTGGCAAATGTTTATTTTTGTTGCGCTAAGCTGAGCATGCAGGAATGAGCACGACAAAGGCCCTGACGCTGGGATCCCGGAGCTCACGAGGAAGGCAGATGCCTTCCTGATATATGTTTTTGGTTCAGTTTAACAAGTGCGGGGATGGGGATGCAAGCACAAGGGAGAGTGGGAGCCCACGGGAGGGACACCTCACCCAGGAGGTAAAGAAGGAAGGCTTCCTGGAGGAGGTAGTGTCCCAGCTGCAATCTGAAAGAGGAGTACGAGTTAGCTGAATGCAGGGAGGGGAGGAATGAGGGTCTGGGTTGCCTATCTTTTAAATACATTTGTAAAGGCTCTTCTGAAAAAACAAATCCCATTCAATGGGCTACAGTACAAGCAGGGCCAGACCATGTCAAAGGCAGCTGGTTCACATCTCTATTGGGAAGTCACGTCACCTCTCTGAGATCCCCGACATGGGAGTGCCTGGCACCGGGTAGATGTCGAGTGTGGGGGTTAATGGCATGGAAGGGACCTCCCCCCTGCCCCCGACGCAGGTGTGTTTGTACCTTAGGAACAGCAACCTCCCCAGATGCTTTCTGCCCTGTGGGTGTTGGGGCCTGGCAGGAGGGAAGAACAGAAAGGCAGGTGGGAAAATGGAATCAGAGAAAGATAAAGCTGTGGTCTTGATGCCACAAGAGTTCATTCCAGCTCACCTGCGTGTCCACTGGGGGTCACCAAAGCTCTGCCCATCGTAGTGTCTCAGAACCGGGCTGGTGGACACTTCTCACCCACGCTGCTGTGAGCACCTCCAGAGGGGAGAGAGGGTGGCGGATGAGCACGGTGAAGTACGCTCGGACCTGGGAAGTGGTGGCCAGCACTAAGGAACCCCCGGCGATGTCTGGGGCACCAGGCTGGGCTCCAGGTGACGATGTGTGTTGTTCCTCTTCCCACACAGCTACAGCCTCCGCCTGGCGTCCCGATGCCCTCCGCCAGCAGCCCCGTACATCACCCGGCAGTACAGGAAAGTGAAGGCCCCGGCTGCTGCCCAGTTCCAGGGACCCTTCTTCAAAGAGTAGATGCTCCGCCTGCTCCCTGACAGGTACGAGGCAGGATGGAGCAGACTCTGGCACCGTGGGTGGGTCTGGAGGCCGAGGTGGGCTCGGCTTGGGTCCTGGGTGGGAGGGAAGGAGAGCAAGGGTGGGCCTGGTCTCTGTGTGTGCCAGGCATGGCATGGGGACTCCCTGCAGGAGCACGCTTGGCTGAGAGCAGATTCTGGACCACCTGGGTTCAGATCCCGGCTCTGTCACTGACTGGCTGCAGGACTTCAAGCAAGTTACTTACTCTCTCTGAGCCTCAGTCTCCATATTTATAAAATGGGCACTACAGTAGTACCTACTTGTTGGGACAATGTGAGAGTTACAAGTGTCAGATGTGCAAAGCACCTAGAACAGTACCTGCCGCATGGTGAGCACCAGATAAGGATTAGCTCTTGTTACTATAATAGTAATGATAATTATAAAAATGGTAATTATACTTGGTACTCAATTGAATCCTTCTGGACTTGTGCAGTCCCTATTCTCGTATGTATTTGAAGGTAAAAATAATACTGGTTATATATCCCTATCCCAAAATCTCAAATCCAAATGCTCTAAAATTTGAAACTTTTGAATGGCAATATGATGCTAAAAGGAAATGCTCATTGGAGAATTTCATATTTTGGATTCTAGGATTAGGGATGCTGAATCAGGGAATATATAATGCAAATATTCCAAAATCCCCAAATACCTGAAATCTGAAACACTTCTGGTCCCAAGCATTTCAGCGACTACTTCAGGGATACTAAACCTGTAGTAATCCATAAAATATAAAGTTTACTTTATGTTGAGCCAAAATCGTCTCTTCCTAGGTTTTCCATTGGTAAAAACCTAGAATCATTCTAAATTTTCTGATGGTAACACACGGAAGTCAGACTTTCCATTTTTGGAGCGCCTGGGCTCTGCTAGTGGCCCACAGCAGGCTTGGGCCTCCCTGTTGGCAACACAGCACAGTTGCATTTGTTGTGTCCCCAAGGTCAGCGTCCCAAAGCACGATCGGAGGACTCGTGCATCAGAAGATCTGGGGCACCGTTATCAGTACAGACCTGGGGGCTCCTCCCAAATGTACAGAACAAGCATCCTGGTGAGCGGGGCCTGGGAACCTGCGTTAGCCGGTGGCCCTGTTGTTCTGGGATACACTCAAGTTCGGGGATGCCTGCTTAACTCAGGGCAGGGGTTAGACCACTAGCCAGGGTCATTTGGAATGAGAATTAGTTGTTTAAGGCAAGAATGGGCTGAATTCTGAAACTTTGGGGATTTTTGTGTTATATCAGGAAGCAAAGACTCTTCTTCCGTTCTGCATGCCCTCCCACCCCTAGACCTCGCTCATTTCTCCGTTTCTTAAGCAGTTGGGATTTCCGGCTTGGCTTTATTCCTCTGGGGGTGGGGAGGAGGATGACAGTAAAATCCACCTTCCCCAGAGAGCCTGTTGTCTGCAGCTGGCACTGAGCCCGTCTCTCTGGAGCCAGCTGCTCCCTGACAGGGGACTGGACCCTGAGGTGGAATCCTATAGAACAAAGTTGAAATGGATCCAAGATAGCACAGAGCTGGGAGGCCCCAGAGATGAACCCTCTCCTCCTCCCATTTTATAGATGGAAAATTTGAGGTCTTGAGAGCAGAGACTTGCCTAGAGTCTTCTGGAAAATGGGAGGCAGTTCCAGGGGAGCAGTTCCTGACTCTGGGTCCCGTTCCTGTCCTGGGATCCTTCCTGTGGCGGAGGTTGCTGCGTGAACCTCTGTGTTGATGGGTGCTCTGGTCATGGCTTCTACCCCAGAGCAGTTTCTCTGCAGCCTGCGGGAGAGCCACGTGCGACGCTGGGCTACTGGGCAGTTTCTGTCTGTGGCCACGGCAGTCTCAGCGAGGACAACGATGGGCTGTGCGCAACATTTGCCAAGCGTTCTCAATCCAGGCTCTCCCCGGGGCCAGGCACCATCCTAGATAGCTGCATTCTTCTTCCTTCTTCACGAACATACACAGCTCCCCAAGCTAAGCGCTTAATTGAATAGAGGCCGAATGTACTTTGCATCTACAACTAACAGCCTCTCTTTGCTCATCTACGATGAATGTTCTAAACTGAACAGTTTAATTTCTAAGTGATTGAAACTTGCTCCTTAAAATCTTATTTAACTTTTTTCTATTTTTTAAATTTGTATTTACACCAAGCATGTGCTACTTATTTTATTATTAATGATTTGGGGTTTTTTTTAAACATCTTACACCATTTGCCTTGGTCAGCTCAAGCTGCCATAACAGCATACCACTGACTGGGTGGCTTCAACGTTTAACAGAAGTTTATTTTCTGGCCATTCTCGAGCTGGAAGTCCCAGATCAGGATACGTGGTCGAGTTCTGGTGAGGGCCCACGTCCTGGCTTGCAGACGGCCACCTTCTTGCTGTGTCCTCACGTGGTGGTTGTGGGGGACGGAGAGCAAGCTCTCTGGTGTCTCTTCTTAGAAGCCCACTAATCTCTCTTTTTTTTTTTTACGAGCCTAGAAGCCCACTAACCTCTCATGAGGGCCCCTCCCTGGTGACCTCATCTAACCCTAATTACCTCCAAATACCATTACACTGGGGGTTAGGGCATCAGTATGTGGATTTCAGGGGACACAACTCAGTCTATAGCACTAACACAGCTCCAGGAGATTTTTAAAAATGCCGTGGCAAAGAATTTGAGCACAGGAAGATATGTGCAGATCAACACCCTCATTTTACAGAGAGGGAAACTGAGGCCCAGAGGGGCACCTGGCAGAGCTGGCATCAGAGCTCTGGTCTTCTGACTCCCAGGGTGGATGCTGGACTTGAAGTGGGCTGTGCCCCCTCCGTGCAGAATCACACGTGCACGTGGGTCTTGTTCAGGCACGAGGATGGCACTCTCGGAGGACCCGAGAGCCGGGCTGCCTTGCTCCTGCTGCCCTTCCCGGGTCGGAGGCTCTGTAACTGTGTGCTGGACGGGCTGAGTGGAGCGGCTGTCCCTGCCCATCGCTAGCCTCTGCTGCACCCCCCTTTCCTGTGTCTCAGGCACAGCCCAGAGCTTCTGTTCGCTTTCAGGCGTAGGGAAGCGCCACCTGCCCAGTGCAGTGTGAGGCTCTCTTTGCACATCCCGTCTCACTCCGCCCTCGGGGCCAGCGGACTTCTCCTGGGGGGCTGAGAGGGGAGGTCCAGGGAGCGGACCAGCATCTCTCACGTTCCCAGCCACTGTCACTGTCCTCGTCTTGGCTGTCGCTGCTCCTTGGCTAAGACTGGCCAGCCTTGAGCCCTCGGTGTCAGGCCTCCTGACACTGGCCCTGTCCTGCTGTCCTGGGAGGGGGTTGGTAGAGGCCCCCATCTCCCTCATGTGAGAGCTCCCCTTGCCCTCAGGCCCAGCCCCTGCTGCTGTGGCCCCTGCAGAGGGCTGCCCCCTTGGTGGGGGACTGGCAGGATGGGTCCTTTATGGAGCCCACTAAACCCGCAGGAAACCCACACTCGCTGGCTACGGCTGGCCGAGGGAGTGTGGCTGCTGCAGACGGGCCCCCGCTCGGCTTTCCTTCCCTCCCCCTGCTCCTGGGCATGGGCACGTGGGCACGGGCAGACGACCTGTCTGCAGCATACGCAGGTGTTCGCCAGGAAAGGAAGCTCCCTCTCTTGAAGGCCCCCTCTCCACTGCCAGTAGCTCCTTCCAGCACCATCAGGAGTTTTCAGGGGATTGGGATTAACAGAGCTAAGCGGTTAAGTGCGGTGTCTGGAGCCACGCCTTCGGTGGGTACTCCACTCCTGTCTGTTACTGTTCACTCATCTGAGAAATGGGTTGACAATAATACCTCTCTCATGGGCACATGAAAAGCCCTTAGGCAAGTGTCTGGTATGCAGTAAGCCTTCCATAAACCAGAACTGCTCTTATTATTATTGAATTATTATTATTAGCAATAGTGAGAATAGTAAGAATAATTTTTAGTAATAGTAATGGTGACCTGTAGAGAGAACTGTACCCCTGAACTTGGCCCAGCAAGTTCAATGCAACACAGCAAACATTATTAATCGCTTACCCACGTGCCCAGCTCTGTACCAAGCACTGTGAACGTGATTTCCGTGGAGGACAGGTGTGGGCAGAGCCACCCCCTCCTGACAGGAAGAACGCGCAGGCTCTGGAGCGAGCTTGACCCGGCCGGAGTCTCGCCTCTATTGTTCGTCGTCATCGGCTGACTTGGAAAAGTTATTTCTCCTCTTCGAGCCTCCATTTCTTCCATGTAAAATGGGGATCCGTGTCGCCTGCCACAAGAATGATAGCGCAACTGCTTGGGGAACTGGCAGTGTTGACTGACACTGGACACAGGACCCCACGGTGCCACAGACGGGGACATACTCAGCAGAAATACGTGCCCACGTACATGTACCAGAAAACCTGTACAAGAACGCTCATGTGTTATATATGCACACCCTACCACCCAGCACGTGCACGCAGCAGAAATGTGCACATATGTTCGTCATACATGTCTTCTAGACGCATACAGGAATGTTCTAGCAGCATTACTCACATGACCCCAAACTGGAAACTAAGGTTGTGCTCCAGGAGTGGAATAGGTGGATGAATGTGGCACATTCCTGCAAGAGAACACTGTATAACCAGACGATTGAGAGAACTGTAGCCACGTGCTCAGACTGGATGAATCTCACAAACACGCCACAAGGAAGAAGCCAGACACGAAATATGTGCTTGACTAATTCTGTTTATTTAAGTTAAAAAATGGGCAAACCACGCTATGGTGGTAGAGGTCGGGACAGTGCTATTCTGGTGGGCGGGTCAGGTTAGTGTATCCCTAAGCGGACGGGGGCCAGTGGGTGCTGGTTACGAGGCATGTGCTGTGTGCATGGTGGACATCAGTAAACAGTTTCACTGAAAACTTCAGTGGGATGATGCGTGAACAGCCCATGGCAGGCACTGAGTATGTGGTTGCCATTATTTTTCTTTTCTTTTTCTCCTCAGCACCTGAAGTGACCTGGAATCAGTGAAGCCAAAGGGACTGCAGTCTGCCCCGCAGGGAGTAGCGACCTGTCCCCATTGTGTGCGCCGCTAGAGAGAGGGAGTGCGTGTGCGGGTGCGCGTGTGGGTGCGTGAGCGGTCTTCAAACAAGGGTCCTGACCCCCGGAGGCAGGAAGGCTGCCGACTCCATGCCGTCCTCTGGGACGATACTCAGAGGCAGGTCTGGCACCCCGTCCTACAGCTCAGCCTTCCTCTTGGGGCGGGGCCCCTCCTACTATGCAATTTTTCAAGAGCTCCTTGACCCTGGTTTTTGCTTCTCGAATTGTCTGTTGCCATTTTGGGGACTTTGGTCCAGTCCGAGGAAGGCCTTCAGGAGGAGGTCAAGTTCCCTTTCAATACCACCCCTTCCCCCCACCTCCAGTCTCCCTGCAACATCTCTGGGAATCCATAACATACAGACGCCTGGAGACGCGAGCCTGAGCGCTGCCCTTGGCCCCAGCACTTGGAAAACCCCCTTCCTTGCCTGAGCGATGGAGCTGCTGGCTCTCGAGTCATTTCCAGATCTAAAATTCCCATCAGTCCATTGCTCTTGAGTCTCTGCAGAGAACGCCCAAAGCAGGTGCCCCTGGGAGAAAGAACTTGTCCCCACTTGTACACCATTTCCTCCCTCGGGAAGGGCGGTGGATGGGGCCTCACTGGGTGGGACCGTCACACCTTCAGTGTCTGAGCTCCTCAGATTCGCTGCAAAGGGAAACAAATAAATTGGGAAATGAGAAAAAAAAAAATGGAAGGATTGAAAAACACGGGAAGAAAAAGAGATTTCTGGAGGCCATAAATCCTCTGCCAGGGGCTGCCGGGGCGGACCCCTGCTCTCTAGGGGTCAGTCCGCGTCTTGGAGAAACACGCGAGCTGAGCTTGGAGTTTGGACCCAGTTCAGTCAGGTTCTTGGGTTTTGTGCCTTCGGGGCAGACTCCAGACGAGGACATCTGAGACCACTTTGGTGCTGTTTTCTCAGCCCCGATTTCAGTCGTGATGCATCAGACCCAGAGTGGAAGGAGGGACGCTGGCAAGTGCGAGTTGTCACACGGTAAAGGGATTTTCTTTTTCAGGGCTACTATGGTTGATCTTGCAACTCTGTAAATATGTATGTAAACACTTTTAAAAGCACGTATTTATGTCCCTGACTGTAAATGCCCCGTTTTTAAAGTTTTATAACTTGTGTTATTTAATTAATCAGTCGACTGGCATCAGTATGGGGTCCGACAAGGGTCCGGGAGAAGGGTCTCGTGAGATCCTCACATGGGCAGAAAAATGCTGAGCATTGGCCAACGTCACGGTTTTCCTATTCCCAGCTAAAAACCGTTGTTTGCTTTTAATTTTTATGAACTGGAGTCCTTTCGCCCGCTCCTGCAATTAACCCTCACAAGCATGAAGAGCTGTGGCTGCTCCCACCCTCTTGACACAGTTTTGTCCCGTAAATGTCCACATTCATGAACCGTTCCCCATCAGCAGTGAGGAAACTCAAACCCAAAGCCTCGCAAGGCGCCTTCAGCCCATGGCGAATTCTGGGAAGTGTGGTCGAGGCCTTGGGGGAGATTCATTTTGTTGTATGTGCGAATGTGCCAGTCACCCTTCAACACTCCCAGACTGTCAGGAAGAGTTGTTCCAGTGGTGGAAAAGGGGGGATGGTCGGCGATGGTCTTCAAGTGTGGGTTTGGGGCGCGGAAGAAGACAGCTCTGTCTCTGCCATGTGAAGAAAACGAACAATAAACGTGTGAAGAGCCATTGTGAGGAGCAAGTGTGGGCTGATCATTTTGGTCTCTGCGCTTTGTCTTCCGTGTGGGTGATTGCTGTGGCCGTGGGGTGGGGGGCCCTGAGTGCTCTGTGCCAGCAGCGGGAGGAGCCCAAGGCTTCGAGGAGACCCACCTGGGAACATCCTACCTGGTGAGCAAGGCTGCTCGGCCTTCGACTCACCCTTCCAGCTGCCGGCCGGTAAGTCAGGCCATTCCGCTAAGACTGGAAAGGCCTCCTACGATTGCAAATATATTCTTGTCTTTAAACAGCTTCATTGAGATCTAATCCACATATCACCATTTCCCTACTGAGGTGTACAAATCGGTGGTCTTTAATATATTCACGATTGAGCAGCCATCCTTGCAATCAATTTTAGAACATTTTCAACACCCCCAACACCCCCGGTACCCATTAGCAGTCACTCCCCATGCTCCTCACCCCAGACAACCACAGATCTACTTCCTGTTCCTACGGATTCGTCTATCTGGACATTTCACATAGATGGGACCATATCACACGTATCTTTTGTGACTGGCTTCTTCTAGCATACTGTTTGCAAGGTTCATCTAGGTTGAAGCATGTGTTGGTACTTCATTTCTTTTTGAGGCCAAATATTCCATTTTATGTATATACTGTCTTTTACTTATCCATTCTTCAGTTGATTGACTTTGGGATTGTTTCCACTTTCTGGCTATTAGGAATAGTGCTGCTGTGAACATTTGTGTAAAAGTCTCTGCGTGGACATAAGTCTTCTTGAGTGTATGGCTAGGAGGGAATTGGTGGGTCATATGGTAACTCCTCAACATTTTGATGAGCTGCCCAACTATTTTCCAAAGTACCTGTACTATTTCGCATTCCTACCAGCAATACATAAGGGTTCCAATTTCTCCACCTCCTTGTCAACACATGTTACTGTCTTTTTATTTTAGCCGTCCTACTGGGTGTGAATATAAATAAATTCTTTGAAGAGCTAACCATGCCTCTGATCACATATCCCAGCAGAGTTAGATATCAGAGCCCCGAGGGGATGGGGTGAGCACAGGGAATTCTAACTGGAAGTGAGAGGCAAGCATGTTCTTGGGTTTGGGGTAGAAGGAGACCCCCAGTGGTCTTTGTCCACAGCCAACTAGAAGGTAGAAGGAAGAGCCCAGAATTCTAAATACTTTCTTGAAAAAGAAGATGTGTTAGGGTTCTCCAGAGAAACAACCAACAGGAAATTTATATATATAATTTACATGCATATAAAAATATGATTTATTATGAGGAATCGGCTCACATGATCATGAAGGCCGAGAAGTCCCAAGTTCTGCCATCTGCCAGCTGGAGACGCAGGAAAGCCTGTGGTGAAATTCAGTCTGAGCCCAAACACCTGGAAACCAGGGGAGCTGATGATATAATCCCCGTCCAAGGGCAGGAGAAGATGAGATGTTGCAGCTCAACAGTGAGGCAGGAAAAAAGGAACGAATTCCTCCTCCTCCTCCCTTTTGTTCTATTTAGGTCCTTCATGGGTTGGATGATGCCAGCCACACCGGGGAGGGAGGTCTACTGAGTCCACATATCAAAGCATGAATCTCATCTGGAAACACCCCACAGACACAGCCAGAAACAATGTTTAACCTGCACCCCATGACCCACTCTAGTTGACACGAAACTTACCATCACACACAACTTTCCACTTTTTGGAGGAAACTTATCTAGGGAAAACAAGTAAACAAAGTAGACCCTTCTAAGGAGGTGCAATGCATGCATTCAGCTCATCAGCGTGGGTTGGCCCCAGTCTGGGCACACAGAGATGGATTTCACACAGTGGTGGGGATGGCAGGGCAAGGAGGGAAGAGTAGATGGAGGAGAAAGTAGACAATTTCAGGGAATGAAAAATGCTGGTGTCAAGGCCAGTCCTGGGTGTGCTGAGAGCATAAAAGTGGGATCCTAAATTCAGGCTTAGGCATCCGGGAGGGCTGCCTGGGGGAGGAGGGGACACAGGGGACCCTCGTAGGTCCTGATGAGGTCTCCTCACCTAATCTCCATGTAAGGCCTTACAATGATTCATGAAGGGAAGAGAAGTGTTCTTAGTATTGCAAGTAGCCCGGAATTAAAATGAAAACAATAATGTCCGTTTATGGCCTACTTTTCAGCTCTGTCACGTACTCTCCCACACACAAGTCCATTCCATTCCTCCAACAAGCTTCAAGGTGGGCAGGGCAGGACATGTCCTTTCTGTGCAGATGGAGCTCAGCAAGCTAGTGACTCACCTAAGTCACACCTGCTCAGCATCGCGGGACCTGAGCCAGCCTCCGACTGCAAGCCTAGGGCTGAATGACACCGCTGCCATTTACTGAGCGCTGTGACGTGCCAGGCATTCCCTCTCATCTCACGGCCGCCTACCAGTGTGGCATCTCAATGGCCATTTCACAGGTGAAAAGAGCTGAGGCCCAGAGATGTTAAACGATGTGGCCAGCGACAGGGCTACACAGCTGGTAGGTGTGAGCCAGGAATTGGACACAGGTCTTTGAGGGCCCAAAGGCCACGATATCCTACTCACCCATCCCTACTTCTCGCTGCTCCCTCTGCCACCCCCCTGCAGGTTTTAACATCACAGCACAGGTGTGTCTCCAACCCCAGACATAGCAATCAGCTGCTGGACTTTTCCTCTTCCCCAGATTGGTGGCCACACGAGACACATGGGTTTAAAAGCGCAGGCTTTGGAGCTCAAGCCCCGGGTTCAATCCTAGCTCTGCTCGTGACTGGCTGTGTGACCTCAGGCTGGTCACTGGCCTCAGCCTGGCTCCTTGTTTGTACAGGGGGATGATAGTCATATCCGCCTTCCTATGTTTTAGTGAGGACATAATTAGCCACTACTGTGTCTCCTTGGGGTAAGTTAACACCTGTTTCTGGGATCATCTGGTCTTTTTGTTAAAAGAGAGATTCTCGGCCTCCACCCCCAAACTCGTTGAATCAGAATTGGTGGTAGCGGGCGGTTCTGGGCCACTTGTATTGTCCACAAGCTCTGCATGTCCCGCCAAGTTTAATGCCTGCTAAATCTGAAGATTATGGCCATAGCAATGACTGAAAACAAGCATTCCAGCCTCAGCCAGGACAGCGAATGGGTGTTGCCTCAGGCTCTGGGCTTTGCATTAAACAGCATCTCTAGTGGCTCTTTCGAGCATCCCACAGGGTCACTACTAGGAAAGGGGAGACTGGCTCCCAAAATGCACACCTTGAAGGTGCTTCTCAGTCTGCTGAACCTGGCCACCTGCCTCCAGTGGAGAAACCTGAGAAGAGCAGAGTTGGTAACAGGGATCAGGAAGCAGGGAACCCTCGCCAGACCTTGGTGGCAGCAGCACTCAGAATGAACACAGCCTTGA